TTCGCTCCAAATTGTGTGGGTTTCTAAATAGTTGGGCAGCAATCCTCCATAGTTCATCCTATATCTGCTGTACATTCATGGTTATAAATCTAATTTATTAGCTATCAAATTGCTAGAATTTTCTATTAATAACAGCATTATTGAAAATATTAATTTACATTATTAAAATTACAATGAGGAAACATTCACCCAAGGATGAATATCTTTATTTTTATGAATACCCATACTTTTTCTAAACATGTGTTTAATTTATGATGCAATGCCATTTTAATGAATTTTATTTCACAGAAAAATAATGCTGAAAAAATATCGACATAATATTGTAAAAATGACCCACATACAACCTAAAGTAAAAATCCACATACAACTGCTACATTGTTGTTGTACTCAATTAAAGTAGTAAATAAGTAGTAAGGAATAATATTTAATATAGTGTTAAGGTTATTGTAACAATACGCAGATTATTTAATAAATGCCACTCACATAAAAAGGTTATTCAAAATGTAACAATTATCTTAATTTATTTTTATTTATTTGGTGCGTAATTAGAGTGATTGCTTTAAACTATCATTTATTTATATTGTATAATAACATATTAAGCAGCATTTTTACATTTTATGGTGTCAATTGGCAGTTAATATCATTTTGGTAAACTATCTTCTGAAACATTCGGTTTTTTTTATGTTTTTGAAATTTTTGAGATATATTGTTACGAATTGTCAAATGTAAAACTATTTCAAAATTGTTACAAAAAATGAAACTAAAATACACATTGCCCATTATAAGGATTTTTCAAAATAAAATAGAATGTTTGTTTCCTAAGGCCAAGAAAATCAAATTCCATTACTGACTCAAAATTGAATTTCATCCCATTCTTCTATGTCCTTGAAACTTCAGTTTGTCATTGACAATATTTTCTGAGGTAAGCAATAAATTCAAAAGCCTCTTTTATTTTTCTTGTTTTTAAATTTTTAATTTTTCATTGATAAAAATTCGTTACTGAATTTTTGTAAATATATGTAAACATAGGAGACAAAACTTATTACATTGTATTAAACTATTTGTAACATTTTGTGAATAAGTCTAAACAAATATTGACATAATTTTGTTAGTACATTTTTTGATAATATAACAATTGTTTATAATTTTAAGATAATATTGGGTACCGATGCCGGACAAATTAATATGGCGTCATTTATCACAAAAAATGACAGATACGTATTAAATTCAATGTTAAACAGAATCACTAATTCAACATTAATCTATTGATTCAACATGAACTGCTCTAACCACTTAATTGATCCACCGTAGTTTTTGACAAACAGTCAAAAATAGTGACCACCTTCTTCTTCTAATGCAAAAAATGGGCAATATTTTTATTGACATGGAAAGAACCATCATAATGCAAATAAAATAAATCTAGATTTATGTATTCTGCTTTTAATTTTAAGATACTGCATGTACAAAGGAAAAGTGGTTATATGTGTATTAAACTAAAGTGACTAACGCAAAAATACTTTTGATATGTATTATATTCTTAATATCAAATTTATTTATTACAATCTAATGTTTCAGGTTTTATTAGTTTGTTTTGTGACAAACAAGGGTTTTATAAGTAGAAACATGTATAATTGAAAATGCGTTTGCATTTGCATTTATAATTGTAAAATGTGTTTGCATTTATAATTGTAAATTACGTTTACATTTATAGTTGTAAAATGCGTTTGCATTTATAATTGTAAAATGCATTTATATTTATAATTGTAAAATGCGTTTACATTGATAGTTGTAAAATATTTTTGCATTTATAGTTGTAAAATGCGTTTACATTTATAATTGTAAAATGCGTTTACATTTATAATTGTAAAATGTGTTTTCCTTTAAAATTGTAAAATGCGTTTTCATTTATGATTGTAAAATACATTTACATTTATAATTGTAAAATACATTATTTATAATTGTAAAATGCGTTTGCATATATAATTGTAAAATGCGTTTGCATATATAATTGTAAAATGCGTTTACATTTATAATTGTAAAATGCGTTTGCATTTATAATTGTAAAATCCGTTTACATTTAAAATTGTAAAATGCGTTTACATTTAAAATTGTAAAATGCGTTTACATTTAAAATTGTAAAATGCGTTTACATTTATAATTGTAAAATGCATTATTTATAATTGTAAAATGCGTTTACATTTATAATTGTAAAATGCATTATTTATAATTGTAAAATGGCATTCAATATTAATGCGTTTTATTTTCCTGATGTTTCATTTCTCTATTATGTTGTTGTTTCTTTTCCCACTTGGTCGACAGCTTGTAGACGAACTCCATGAACCAGCTTAAGCCAAGATAAAGAGTAACTAATGCAGCCTCTGCTTGTTCTTGCTGCACAAAAACATAAGGCACCCAAAGGGACTGACTGCAGTCTGACTTTACCCCGCCCACGTTAGTACCATCAACAACCACGTTATACCCACGGGAACTGAATACCCATTTAAGTCGCCTTTTACGACATACATGGGCTACAGAGGGGCTATTCTAACCCGAGCCCACACGCTAATTTTTATCATTGTAAGGTCAATTTACGAAGCTGACGAAATGCTGTAATAATAGCACAGTTTATTCATAATAAATGTATTGTAACTTATAAGTAACAACCTGAAATTAAACATAAAAAATTTTAATTAAGTGATCTAAAAAAAATATTCAAAATAATTGCAGGATCTTGTCTTCTGTTAATACCTATTTAAATACAGATTGATTTAATTATAACAATGAGTTCAAATTTGAACTGGAGATACTTGAAGAAAAGAGAAACGGTAAGGCATCAAAAAAGTTCAAAAGTGTATTAATAAATGCCGATGCCATCATAAATAAAGGAAATTTGGCTGCCAGTGATATTTTGAATCGAAATTACAAAGTATTAGGCATGATTTACACATTAAACCAACTTTAGCGTTCAATGTGCTGGATTGTTTCGGTTTTTTGACAGAAAGAATTACTTGCAAGTCATTCAACAGTTGTGATACTGTTAGTGGAAAGCCCATCCACCACGACAAGGTCATACCAAATTTGATGGCAAAAATCGGCGGTATTTTATTGGAACTTTATTTGATATCATACTGTATCCCCTTTCTTCAAGTATCTTCAGTTGAAATTTGAATTCATTATGACGATTATTTCTTTTTTTTTTACAGCATTTTGAAAGTAAGATTTTAATTATAATCACCCGGTATATATAATAACAGACGCAGAAGTGAAAAAATTTTTTCACTTCTGCGTGTTTTTTTCACTAGGTTTAATGTGCAGCTCATGCTAAATACGTTGTAATTTCGGTTCAAAATATCACTGGAAGCCGAATTCCCTTTCTTTACGCCACTTACATCTATTAATACATTTTGGAACTTTTTGATGCCGTACCGTTTCCCCCTTCTACAAGTATCCTCAGTTCAAATTTGAACTCATTGTGAAGAATGGTTCCTTTTTTTACAGCATTTTGAAAGTGGGATTTTAATTATAATTACCCTGTATATTTAATTCGTATTTATTATCACTTAATTTTACTTAATTATCTGTGAACATGCTTCATCTATTTTTAAAGGAAATATAAAGAAAAAAAAAACATTTAATACAAATAAAATATTTAAGTTCAACTAACTTTTTAGCATCTGCATCAAGACTTACTCACCGGTAATTCATCCCTACAAACCACGACAGTCTGTAATTTAATCAAGTCAAAGGAGAAAGAGGAGCAGGCTTAGGTAAATGGCACGAGGAGACTATCTTTTCCTTAAAACCCAGGTTGGTATAAAGGAGCACACATATGCCGGAAACACATTAGGAGCACGTATAAACGCTTAATCAGGATTTATGATGCATGCTCGTATTCATTTCAGGGGAGACAATTAATTCGTTGCAACGTGTACAGTGACACGGCAGATAGGCTAGTTAAGAGAGGGCGCACCCCGTAAGCGAGGAATCAGCTAACTAGATGCGCCCCTCTGAGTTATGGTTTGGAGAATCCTCCGCCCCTTTCTCAAGAATGGCAAAAATAATTGTTGGAGCAGAAGGAAAGCTTTCTGTTCATTTAGATGGGTATTTATCTCATGAGGTATAAACAAACTGTTCTTGTGAGTGAAATGTTATAATGTTAAAATGAAGTGTCTAATACCAAAATGTGTAGCAACTGTATAAATAAAAATATAACGACATTTTTTTTTTTTTAAGTTCAATTGCTTTAATTGCTTAAAACATAAAATTTCTTTTAATTTAAAATATTAGTTGTTTGTAATAAATAAAAAGCTATGTAAATTCTTTAATAATAAAGAGGGTTATTGGCTTTTGGGAAAATTTTATGAGTACATGTCCTTCTTATTGGTAGTGTATGAAATGGAAAACTAGACAACAAATATCATAAACGTTGATATCAGAAGCCCGGGCATACCACTACTAATATAGACGAATATTTTTCTATGTGAGAACAGTGACTATAAACATATTTACCTCGAAAACCTTTTCAGCCATCCTCACTCATCAATTGCACCAACCGTTGATAAACCAACCTTAAAGAATGCAACGTTGACAATATTTTTTTTCTGTCTTACATTGGTGAACCAATGATATACTTTGTATATAATAATCTATATACTGATTATCTATTGGCCTGTTTATCTCTAGTATCCTGATTATATCTTCTGGCACACAAACTATTTGTTGTTGTTTCTTATCCCACTTGGCTGGCCAAGCCCACGAGCCCATACGTACTCTTGGTTGAAGGGGAAGGAAGCAGCTTCTGTTGCGATGGAGCACCCGTAGGTAGAAGCCTGACTTTTGCTCCGTGACGCTCTTACAGTCATAGGAGACTGGGATCTACGGCTTAAAGTGGATTCCGAACCACTACAAACATTCATGGCACCGCCGGGATTTGAACCCGAAACCTGTGGCACCGAGCGCCAGAGCGCTAGACACTCGGCCATTCAGGTCCCAAATTTGCCAACGGCACGCGGTGTTCCCAGGTGGTCACCCACCCAAGTACTGACCGCGCCCAATGATGCTTGACTTCGGTGATCTAACGACAACCGGTAACACAAACTTTTATTATGTTAATGAAGAGGATTATACCAAAATGTGTAACAATTGTATAAATAGAAATAGAATGACATTTTAGCTCGCATTCAATTTTAGTTCCCATTCAATTGTTTAATTACTTAAGGCTTAATTACTATTTTTAAAGCTGCGATACCTATATACGTTAATGCAGTTAACGTGTCTGTTATGTTATGTTATCTATGATGTTATGTGAAGTTATTTATTGTCTCATTTCGAAACGCAATAGCTGTAATGCACAACCAAAAGATTTCAACCATTCAAAGCATAGCTGAAAAAAATAACTGTTGATAATTGGTTCATGCTAAAAGAATTTCAATTTCATTATCAAACTTAGAAGAACAACATATCTCAGATGAACCAAGATCTTATATCTCCCATATCATTTACTGGATAAATATTTCTTCTTTAAAATTCATGTCCAAGTTATTACTTATAATCCTATCTTTGAAACAACAAAGTATATTAATACGCAATACTAGGTACAAAAGAAAACAATGAAACCTCTGTATGGACAAATATAACTTGTTTATTTGAATTCTATAAAGACTAAATCTATATAAACTGTAGCAGTATGTAAAATATCAAATGGAGCTTTATATAGAAGCTCTTAAAACTTTGAACTTGATTAATAATAAATATTTATTTAGCACACTATCTTTTTATTTCTATCTCAAGTAAATGTGACACAGTAAATAATAAAAATAAATATTATTGAGAATCGAGAGATTGTCAAACCTTTAAGTAAATAATGGGATTTTTTCAGAAAATTGCTCAGAACTTTATAAAATGTTGTTGTAATCTATTGTGACATTTTCATTATCTAATAATAGATTTATCAGTTGTCTATAAATAACTTTCCAAAAAAACACTTCGTAGATTTTCAAATTTAATTATTTTCGTTATATTGCAGGAAATTACATGTTCTCTTTTCTATTTTCTAAGCAGAAATCTTTAATAATTATTTTTACATAATATTTATAACATATATGCAATAAAATATAATTTATTATTCTTAATTTTTTTTTATCGGAATTATAATCCCGTTTAACATCAAACAGATGTAATAATTTTCTGTTAATTTTTATTTTTTCAAAAAAACTATTAGTTTTGAATGGAAATTTCACGGTTTATACAGAAGTAATAAGAAGTAAAAAGTAATTTGTTTCGCCTTGTAATGTAATAAAACATTAAAAACGCAATATATTTAATATCCCATAAGATTTAATTTTTGACTTATATTCTTATCTATAAGTTTATCAAGCAATTTGTGATAAAATATAAAATATTAAATAATTAGATTGATATTGTAGCATTTCGTTAAATTCATCAAATGTAGAATTTAATATCTCTTGATATACAAATTAAAAAAAAAATGTTTGTAGCTAATCGTAAAGGATTTAGATTCATTTTTAGTGATTCAGATAGAACATCTCCTTATCAATTGAATTTAACTTTTAAGCATTTACTTATCCGATGCAAAATCTTTTAAAATCATACATAATTTATTAAGTGCATAACATTTTCTTGATTTTCCATAGAAGTCTTATGAAAGTAAATTATTTAACATATATTTGATTTTTTATAAAATTACCTCGGATGGAATTTACTTATTCGTAGAAAACTTTTACAAAATGGTAAAAGGTAACTCAAGGGTATTAAAAGTAAATAATTCTGTTTAAACTGTGGAGGAATAATTCGCATTTTATCTTTGAAATACTTAGTGGTTTTTATGTAATTAATTAAACTATTTTTGAAACTGCTTGTATTTCAGGGAAAATATTATCTGTAAATGTATTTAAATAATTTTTTTTTTTTTTTTTTTAAATTATATCAACACGAGTTACATGTTTTTTTTAAAAATTGCATTCGATTCTAAATTCTTTGATTTTTAGTAAAATATTTTATGATACAGGAAAAATTATATTCATTTTAGTTGAGATGAATGACTTATTTTTCTATTTCCATAATTTAAATTAGTTTTGAATATCATAATCAATAGTTAATTAAAATTAATTAAACTGCTGCTGGTTAATTTGATCATTTTCTTGATAAAATTAATAGTGGTATTCATTATTTTTAAATATATATACTCGTTTTACTGTGATTAAAATTTTCATAATAACATGAAACATAAGTTCACAGGCTTAAAATATATTATTAATTATCTTGAATGGTTCCAAAAATTTTCCATTGCTTAATTTTAGATTATATTAGTTTTCGAATGTAGTTTTTAAGATTTCTGTAGTAGAAAAATTCTGTTCCAAATGTAGTTCTTAAGAAGAATGTAAATTGAAAATTTAAATATTATTATAATATAATTATCCTTTTTAAAGATTGGGGGCAGATGAAATGACGATGTTCAAAATGCAATCAATGAAAATATAATTGTATTTTTAATTTTTAACCCTAATTAGTGTTACGTAATTTATTTTTAAAAATGTTTTTCTTAGTGTATTTTAACTTTCGAAAATGGTAATACTTTTAAAACATTTAAGCAAACAACTATTTCAAGTTTATAATAACTTATAGTTTACATTTCTGATTTACATTTTAAAATTTAAAAAAAAAATTCATAATTCATTAATAATTTTAGGGAATGTTTCTATGAAGAATTGTTTTTTAAATTATTGCGTAAAGCATTTGAAATTTATATAAATTTCCATGATATATAATTTATTTATTTATATAATTTCCATTTATATAAAAAAAGTTTAAAAAAAATCAGTATGTAGCATTTAAAAATATATTTTATTTAAATTGAAAAAAGTAGGTAACCATTAGAAATATCTAAAGTCTTATTTACATTTTAAAAACTGATAAATTTCACAAAATAACTCATGTTATTTGCTACATACATTGACTTTATTCAAAAATATTTTTATATATAGCTTTTTCATTTTAAATGCACCACAATTCATAAAACATGCAGTAGTGGCAGTATATTTAAATAAAATGGATCCGGTACTACAGCATGCTAAACTCACCCAAAATTTCCTTTAAAAGTATTTTTATTAAATAAAAATGAATTGGATCACTTCTTTCACATGTTTCACCCAATTTGTAACAATTTAAAATTTCGGCTTGGAAAAGGATAAAAGTTGCTTGAATATTTCTTGATATATTTTTAACAATTTAGTTTGACAGAAAATGTAACATTGTACATAAATTGTTTAGTCATTGTTGGTAAGAAGGACGGGTATTTATGTATAAAGGATAAGATGTATTACATACAATTGTTACTGAAGTCATTTTTCTCTATATAAACATCTCCTTTTAAATTAAGAAATACAGTCATCTCTCTATAGAAACATTGAAATGCCATTGAATTAGGGAATATTAAATATCGTGCCAGTGTTGCCATATTTCAGTCTATGTACGGATGATGCCATAGGATATATATTGCTAGAAGTGAAGCTATTTTTTAAATAATAGTCAACAGTCACATGACAGCTAAAATTCGAGAAATAAATATTTTAGATATAGTGCAAATAACAGGTTCTCTGTGCTAGAGTCATTCGATCTCAACAATTGCTAAAAAAATTGAAATTGTCTCATTTCAAGAGTTTATGATTGCACGGATAGTGAAAAGAATGATTGGGTAAACGGCTCAACAATCTTGGATGGTAAAGAAGTGATTAAACAATTAAATTTATCGTTCTTAACTAGCAACATCACACTTTAAAATAGGTGACCACCTATTTGAATAAGGGACTCTCCTCTGACAGCAAAGCTTAGATCACTGTATGGTTTTAGGAAATTAATATCTAGGAAAGTATCATTCCTTACTGCAGAACACCATAATAAAAATCTTGCGTGAGACAAAAGTTCTTGTAGCATTATCATCAGCAATTGGAAGCAAGCAACTCGAAGAGATGAGTATAGATTCTGGCTGATAGAACAATTATATTGCTCTCTGAATAAAATATGGACAAAACAAGTTCACTGAACAACATTTAACAATGGTGTTTAAAATAGTTTTCTTAAAATTGTAACAAATGTTCGGCAAGTCCTACTTCCATCTCTTTGGCTTGTCGGAAACATACCTTGGTTCATATAAGCCGTTATCAAGATAGGTGTACTAATAAATCGTTATTAATTAAGTATATATAATTCAGTGTATTAATACGCGGTAAATGTATCACTGTGATAAGGCATAAGAAATTATAATTTTAAGAGGATTTAAAATTTCCTTTTCTCTTAGAAAATGATCTTAATTGTTTTTCTTTAAAGTCAGTATTAACAGTTAAGTATTTATTTTTTCTCCTTCAAAGCTTTTTTAATTCTTATCTAAAACCACCTGAAGCATTTGCGATCTACTGACATACATTAATGTGTGGTACGCATCACAATTTTCTTTCTACTTTAGTAAAATTATTTATCTCTTCCGTCATACGCAATTATAATTTTTCTTTACATTTAGAAAATGTAATGTTAAAATTATGTTTATGTTTAAGTTTTTGTGAATATTTTTAAGAAAATATCGTAAGCATATTATAAACAACAGCCTATTAAGGGTAATACAGAATTATAATTTTTCATTCATATTCTTCTTCTTCAATGGCGCAACACCCCCTTGGTAGGTCAAGATCTTCTGCTTATTGGCGAATATTTTTAAACATATTATCCTCAGAAAATAAGAGCAAACTACATTGCTAAATAAAACTATCTTTTAGAATATATACATATTAGTCAGGCAGATATGTATTAGGCAACGTAACAGATAAAACATAAATTTAAATTTTATTGGTTGGTTAAAAAATTACTATTAATTTTTATGTGAGTGAAATATATTTAAGAGGTATTACGGCACGTTACGTTTCAGTACATTATAATCTATTTATATTTCATAATTTAAAAGAGAACATAATAATTTTTTTTATATCAAAGCTCCACAATGAAGTTTGTCACGCTGTTATAAGTTTTATATCCCAGAAGTTTACACTTTGAAAATGCCTATTGAAATTTGTCTTCATTC